CACAATCACTCAGCCAGCAGTCAGGCCCTGGGCAGCCCTGGGTCCCCCTCACTTCTGGAGGCCCAGGCCGGCCCCACAGCTGGGAGGGAGCGTGCCAGGCCAACAGTTTTCAGCTTGTAAACAGTTATTAGGGAGCTAATAAACTTGACTTCCCAGAACCCTGCCCTGGAGCTCGCTGCTTCCCTGGAAGAGGCTGGTCCCAGCCCCAATGGCTGCTGGAGCTTCAGGGTACTTGGGCCTGGGCTGATCCAGGCCACTCAGACAGGGGAAGGCGGGGATTTGTAAATCCCTACTCACTGCAGCCCCTCCGCCCCCTCACTTGGGGCAGCATGGATTCCCTTGTTGAGGAGTGAGGGCTGCGGGGAGGGGAGGACAGAGACGGGAACTCAAACCCGGCCCTGGCCACCCCCTGCTGGGAGACTTGGAGCAATTTGCCAGAGCCTCAGTTTCCTCTGCTGTGAAATGGCGGGACGCCTCCCCCACCCAACAGAGATGACGTGGGATCATGAATGTACCGCGCTCAGCGCACTAGCGATGGCCAGTACTTGGTAGCCTCTTTTTGGTTGACCGCCACTCACTTGGTCTCTACATCTGAGCCCAGAGCCCCAGTGGTAACAGATCTCTGATTGACAGGTGGGGAAACTGAGGCTCGGAGAAGTCAAGTCACCTGTCCTAGGCTCCCTACTTAGGGGGTCGTGGTGTCTCTTGCCACCCTGGAACTGGTGAGACAAAGTGGCCACAAAATGGGCCTGGGGTGGTGACCGAGGAGTCCCGGAGCCTGGCCCAGTTTAGGTGTGGGCCTCTGAGACTCGGGAGCCCCTCCCAGCAGCCCCTAGGCAGAAGTGACATCACCTGGCACTTAGCTGCTACTTCCCAGCTTATCAAAGGGCTTTCTCTCAAGCTCAAGCTCCCCTTACCTCATCATCATTAGTGGCCGAAAAAGTGAGATCAAGGGCTCAGGCCTTATTTCCCCTCCAAGTCCTGCTCTGGCCCCCATCCCACAGTGGGTCTCCCACCTCCTGTTTCAGGCCTTCTGGAGCCACACCCAGAGGCCTGACCTGGGGAGGGCCCACCGGAGCGGGCAAAGGTGCTCCCTGCTGCACAGCAGGGGCGGGACCACCTGAGGGCGCTCTAGGTACTGGCTGTTGGGCCACACGGGGGAGGCAGAGGAAACCAAGGCTCTGAATGGCTTTCCCGTTCCTGGCCCCAAGGGCGCAGCCAGAGGGAGCAGAGCCAAGGGTCACCACCTCCATGACTCCCTCACTCCCCCATCACAAAAGCTGGGGGGGGGCGGCAGGGAAAAGCCCTGGCTGGGAGGAGCCAACAGTTCCCTGCCCAAGGCTCCACTGGAAACCCACCCTCCGGAGTCGCTCAGCCTCCCCGGGTTGAGGTCCCCACCCCAGATCGGCCCCCCCACACCTTGTAATTATAGCACTGCCTCCCCCAGAGCCCAGGAGGCAAGGCCCCTGTCATCACCATGAGCACGTGCCAAGGGCCCACAGCCACGCTCCTAACAGCAGGTGTGATGCCTTTATCACGGCAGCTCCCGCCCAAGACTTCACATGTGTCACCACTGGAATCCACTGGAATCTTCACGGCAGCTCGTCCCGGGAGACCACTGTTGGCCCACTATGTAGCGAAGGAAACTTAGGCACGGACTCTAAGTGACCCTAGTCCTACTGACCATCTCCTAGGCCACTGTGCCCACCAGCTTCTGGGCCTTGCTTCTCGGCTCCCTGCGCTGGGAACCCCCCTCCTCCCACCCTCCGCCGGCTGGCATCCCTGATTGGCACTGGCCGCTTAGCTCCAACGCTTTCCTAGCTAGCACCCCGCCCCCACAACATGCCTTCTGGCAGCGTTTGAACCGCAAACAAATGACTTGTGTCTGGGTCCCTGGGTAAGAGCACAGGATGACGGGATGTGGACACAGGGCCTCCCGGACTTCCCTGAAGATGAGGTGATGGGTTTTTCTTTACCGCCCCCCCCCCCACTAACTCCCTCAGGGAAGCAACGGTAACTTTATGGGCTGTGTGGTAGAAGCCCTTGTCCCCCGAGCACTGCCCCCCCCAATGATGGGACAGGTGAGGCCAGGCGCCCCGGCCTGTATCCTCAGAGCTGGCCTCGCCTGGGCGCCTCCCCAACCCAGTCCCCACAGGTGAGTTTAGCCTGCACTCCCAGTGGCCGCTGATGTCCCGGCCAGTCCTCCCCACAGCCTGGCTCAGCCGGATACGAAACTGGGAACGAACATGTGAGCTCAGTCCGGAAAACCCCGCCGGTGGCCTGGCCACACCGAGGCCTGCGCTCCCAAGTGGGTGGTACAGACCGGAAAGGATGTGCAGAGATGGGGCGCGGGGGGTGGGGGGGGGAGGCAGCCCAGAGAGCACATCTCCCCAGGGGTCACACCGTGGGGCAGGCAGAAGGCTAGGGCCACCCCGATCCTGCCACCACTCATCTTGAACCAAAAAGCAGTGGCTCTCGCTGAAGTCACCTGGAAACCAGCAGGTACAGGCCCGCACAGACACACCCCCTCGGCTTCTTCTCCTCTTATCTGCCGTCTCATCGGGCATAGCTGATTGCAGGTAGACAGGAAGCTCTGAAGGGCTCCAGCCACCAGTAAAAACACTGCCAAGGGCGAAGGGCCCGGCTCAGACCCCGGTGGCCCCCACGAGGTATCTGTGGCATTGACTAATCCCTCCTTCGAGAACAGAAGTGTCCCTCTGGGCAGTGTGTGTGTGTCTTATGCCACGTCGAGCTACAGCTCACAAATGAGCGAACCAGATAGGAGCCAGCTGGAGGTTTACCAGCAGGTGGCACAAGGTTTTGGGGCTGGGCTTGGGAACCACAGGCCCAGGTTCAATATCGGGCTCTACGGCTTAATCCCTGAACGGCTTTGTACAAGCCTTCAATGCTGCTTTGTGCCACGAGGGACGCACTACAGACAGAGGCCACTATTTTGGTTTCTTTGACAAACAAAAAGATGGGAGTGCCATTCCAGGCCTTCAAAGTTAAAAGCAAAACAGCCAACAACAACAAACAAAACCCACCAAAAAAACCCCTAGAATCTGCCACCCACCGTCTCATCCTGCCAGAGTTCTGAGTTGGTCCAGGAGGCCAGGGTTCAGAAGTGAACAGGATATGGGCAATGAACACTGTCAGAAAATGAGACGGGAGGGCAGTGGGGTGGCCTGGGGTCCTGGGCACGGACATCCCATCCCTCTAGGCCAGGCCCCCAGCCCCATCCCCTGAGAACTGGGCCAACATTTCTGAGCCCACCTCAAAGGAATCGTCCCTACTGGGGTCTGCCCCTCGGCCTGCCGCTTGGCTAACATCAGGAGCAGGGGCTGCCTCACTGTCCCAGCCAGGGGGGCTAATCAGGGTTCCCACAGCCACAGAGGACCTTTTTATTGCCGGGCGGAAGCAGATTGGAGAGCCACAAGGAGTTAGAAGCCTGTTAGTCCCTGGTTGTTATTTTCCTGGTGTAAATAACTGGAAGACTTAGGTGTCAGGTTAGAAGGGAAAATTCCAGCAGGTCACATGGCGCCAGGCGTCCATGCCTGTCTCAGCAATCCAGCTTTGGGGAAATTTATGAGAACAGAGCTCTCCCCATTCTCCTCCTCCCCCCCACCCCCACCCCAGGGGATATTTGAGCTAGAGGGCTGCCCTGGCTAACTCCGCATGGGAGGCTGCCTTAGGGGTGAAGCACTCCTGGAGACTGAGCGGTGAGAGGGCCCTGTTCCCAGCCCCTGGGACTGGGCTCCTCCCCCACAGCACCCAGACCAGCTTCCTGCAGGGCCCCTGGTTTGAGCAGGGAAGAGGCAGGCTTTTGGCACCAAAGGAAGCCTCATGCTAGGGGAATGACTGCCCTCACAACCTAAGTTTACTCTGTTCTTCCCCTAACCCGTGGGGAAACCGAGGCAAGCAGGGGAAGTCAATAATAAGTGACTTGATGGGCCAGCACTGACATTTTGAGCTGGTTAATTTCTGGTAGGTAGCTGTCCTGCGCACTGTAAGATGTTTTTAGCAGCATCCCTGGCCTGTACCCACTAGATGCCAGTGGTGATCAACACTCACCTCCCTCTCCTGAGCTGTGGCAACCAAAATGTCTCCAGACATTCCCGAATATCTCCTGCCACCAAAAATCAGTCCTCTGCTTGAGAACCACAAGCTTCACTATCCACTCTGCCCTCCCTACGGAGTGGCAGGAACACAGATGCTGGGGGCTCATCATTTTACCTGTAAGTGTCACAAACGCGGGGTCCTAAATCTATATGGGAAACAGCAGCCAGTCAACGTGTGGGGTCATTTGGCAACCCTTCCCCTTCCTTTAGCCTTTCACCCAGTTAGGCGGGGGCTGAGACCTTGGCTTCCCCTCTGTCCTGGGATGGGAGAGCATGTCTAGCAGACCTAACCCTTTCTAACCCTCACTTAGCCCAAGGCCCTTGGAGCAACATCAGAATGGACTGCTGGGTCCGATTTCTGAGCTCCGACCTAGACTTGCTGCGAATCCACTCTCCCGCACCTGTTTCCACCCTGGCGAGGCTGGACGCACAAACTTCGCCTCGGCGGCGGCGCCGGCCCGCTGCTCGTCCAGGAAGGGAACGGGGAGGGAAGGGTCTGAGTTCCAGGCGCTTCTGAAACGAAGGCGAGACTGCGCGGTCCTGTACCCAGGCAGTCCCCTCTCTTCCTCCTGGGGCTTTAAACTTCTGCTCAATCGTCGTGTCCCCTACATCTGGTGACCCGTGGCCAAGGACCCCTTGGGCGTCTCGCCCCAGCCGAGCCCCAGGGACCGGCAGCCCCGGTCCAGCGGCCCCGTCCGAGCCCAGCCCCGGCCTCTGGCCTCGGGCGCGGCCCACGTGGGGCCCGAGCGCTCCGCAGGTCGGGCGCCCTCGCGGGCCCCGCACAGCAGCCCCAGGCCAGGCTCGCGCCCGACCCCGCGGACCCCTGTGACGCCTGCGGCCGGGCCGCCGCGTGCAGGGCTCCGCCCTTCACCCCGCGCTCACCTCCCTGCGGCCCCACGTCCCCGGGACGCAGCTCCGAGCGGCGCCGGCCGGCGGCTGGGCGGTGGCTCCTGGGGGCGGGGCCTCGGCGCTCCGCCTCTTCCCTACCTGCGCGCGGGCGGAGGGGGCGGGGCCGGGCGGTCGGGGGCGGGGCCGGGCGGTCGGGGGCGGGGCCGGGCGGCCTGGGGGCGGGGCCCGGGTCGCTGCGGGACCAGGCGGCCAGCCCAGGAGCGCCCGGGCCTCGCGCCCATCGCTCTGTGGCTCAGATCCCCGGTTTGGGGGAGGGCGTCCCCGCCTGGGGAGAGCCCGGTTTTCTGCGGGAGCTGGTGTCTTCCGGGCGCCGACCTCTCCTCCCGGGACAAAGCGCATGATCTAGGTCTGAACTGCCATCACGTCACCCCCCAAGAATAGTCACTCCCGTGACGACCACCCCGCATCCCGCATCCCGCTCCCGCCAGCTTTCTCAGTCCAAGGCCAAGGGGGCCTGTTCCTCGAACCTTCAGCCCCTCGCTTTCCCCGAAACGCATTTGCAGAATCTCGATGACTACCACTCCTGCGGCAGCTCCCGCCTCCAGGAAGCCTCTGATCTCTGCCCTCCCCTGCATCCTCCTGGGGCGGAGACTTGCTCCACTGCTCCGGCCCCCGGGCGGCCCCCGTCCGACCCCTGCACGAAGCCCGGGCCGGAGTGCTCGCCACTGGGCGAAGCGCGCGCTGGGTGCCTGCGTGGGCGGCGGGGGGCTCTGGAGGGGCCCCGGGAATCTCCTTTCCGGCCGACCCAGTGAAAGAAAACTCACGTTGTCTCTGACCTGGCGACACATAACCTTCCTGATGGGGCAAAACCTTGGCTCACACGGTGCCTGCTGCAGAAGAGGAAAGGGCTCAGGATCCAGAGATTCGGTGGGGCCAGCCTCGGGTTCAGGGGGGGCCTCAGCCCAGGCCCTGGCCCCTCTGAGCCTGTTCTTAATTTGCAAAGTAGCAAAGCCTGCCTGGCCTCACGTGGTTGGTAGTGGGGATGCAGTGAAGCGGTGCATCGCAGTGTTAACTACTGTGGTTATTATAGGCCGTGGAGGTTGACAGCCAGACGACCCAAGTTCAGATCCTGGCCCTGCCACTTCCTATCTGTGTGGCCTTGGATAGCCTACCACCTCCGTGAGCCTCTGCTTGCTACTCTGTAAATGGGGGTGATAACCGGCCCTGCCTCTGGTAAGAAGCCCCTTGAAGGGCACCTGGCGTGTGCTAATAACTGTTGGCAGCTGCTATTGTTAGTATTGCTATTTTTGTTACTATTATCACACTGGGACCCCATGTCCCATCAATTTTGAGCCAATTTCTACTCCTTCTCAGCCCAGAGAAGCTGGCCTTTGATTCCTGATCTCCCTGTGGCCGGGCTTCTCCATAGCTCTGCGGCTCTCCTGGGGTGTGGACGTGGCATTGCTCTCGCCCTCTCCCACAGGAGCCCATAGTTGTGGGGGGAGGGGGAGGGTCCCACCTGCATCTACCCTGTGGCCAGGGCCAAAATTTATGAACCTATCCCCTCCTGAAGGTGTTGCCAGGACCCACCCAATTCCATCTGCGGGCTGGGTGTGGGCTGGGTGGGTGCTGGCTGTGGTGTGGCCACTAACCATGCCCCCACACTGGCACTGAGCCACCCCGTCTTTCTGCCCTCTCGGCCCCTTGGCCTGGGTCTGGCTACCCAGGGGGACCCTTCTTCCTCCTCGGCATGAAGAGGACCTAACTGACCTAGCCTCCCCACTTCGGCCTAGACAAAACTGTGCTGAGGGGAGCCAGGGAAAATCTCCAAGGTCCGGATGCCCCTTTCTCGCCCTGGCAGCTCTTATCTTGCCCTTCCACCTTGGGGAGGCCTGGCCTGACAAGGAGCACAGTTTGAAGGGAGACTCTACTTGGGGGCCGGGGGGAGGGGCCTGGACCCGTGGGGACCAGGATCAAGCAGTCCTGTGGTCTGAGAGGACAGCCAAGACCCTGGCCCCTTACAGAGTTCCCGCGGTGTTTATCACTAATCCGGATGGGGGTGGGAAGTTAAGAAGTGAGAAGAGGAGGAGGGGCTCTTGGCTGCTGGGGATTATGCAGAGGAAGGCATACCTCTTCCTCCCCATCCCCCAGGACAGGGGGGTGGGGAGTGGATTAAAGCTGGAGGGCTCCCCCCCACCCCCACCCCCGCCCCGTAGCAAATGCAAGGACCACTTACCCACCACATCCCTGGGGGCTGGGGGCCAGCAGAGAGGATCGAGATCAGGGCCTGTGTGCCAAGGGCTGGCACTCAATAGGGAGGTGGAAACACACACACACACACACACACACACACACACACACACACACACACACTCTAACAGGAAGGCTAGGGGCCCTGGGGTGGCTCAGTCAGCTGAGTGTCCAGGCTCAGGTCATGATCTCCCGGTTCATGAGTTCAAGCCTCACATGAGGCTTGCTGCTGTCAGCACGGAGCCTGCTCCAGATCCTCTGTGTCCCCTCTCTCTCTGCCATTCCCCCGCTTGGGCTTTCTCTCTCTCTCAAGACAAACAAACAACCTTTAAAAATAACTGAACAGGGGGGCGCCTGGGTGGCTTAGTCGGTTAAGCGTCCGACTTTCGCTTAGGTCATGATCTCGCGGTTCGTGGGTTCGAGCCCCGCGTCGGGCTCTGTGCTGACTGCCAGCTCGGAGCCTGGAGCCTGTTTCAGTCTGTGACTCCCTCTCTCTCTGACCCTCCCCTGCTCACGCTGTCTCTCTCTCTCTCCTAGAAATAAATAAAACATTAAAAAAAATTAAAAAAAAAAATAACTGAACAGGAAGGTAAGGGCAGCTGGCCATTTGGAGTCCTTCCTCTTGATGAACTGTGGGGGTGATGGTAGGGTTCATGGGGTTCTGAGCCGGTGGCCAAGAAAGAATTCTTCAAGATGTCTTCGGTGCAAAAAGGTGATTTTATTAAAGCACAGGGAAGGGCTCCTGGGGGGCTCAGATGGTTAAGCGTCCGACTTCGGCTCAGGTCATGATCTCACTGTCCGTGGGTTCAAGCCCTGCATCAGGTTCTGTGCTGACAGCTCGGAGCCTGGAGCCTGCTTTGGATTCTGGGTCTCCCTCTCTCTCTGACCCTCCCCTGCTCATGCTGCCTCTCTCAGAAATAAATAAAACATTAAAATTTCTTTTAAAAAATTAAATAAAGCACAGGGACAGGGCCCGTGGGCAGGAAGAGCTGTACTGTAAGTGTAGGGGGTGACTTTTTTAAAAAATGGAATCACGGGAGATAAAGTCAAGAGGGGGCTTCCAAAGAGACTTTCGCGTGCTAAATACTTACTGGAGGCAGAGATACTGTTAAGCTAAGGTTGTTTTTCCTTCTAACAAAGAATTAACATTAAGACAGTAGAGCTCCTGGACTTCAGGCTATTGATGGGATTGGCTTTTTCTGATGAACTGGTGAAGACTCGTCAATTTAACCATTTGCTTTTTGTTTGTTTTGTTTTTTTTTGTTTTGTGTTTTTGTCCTTTCCTGGTTTTGGGTAGCTGGGACAGTCCAAGGAATATCATACATGTCCCACATGGCGGGGGGGGGGTCGGTGCTATTATCCTGCACTCTGCCCTCTGCCCTCAGCTTGCCCCTCCCCACCCCATCACCCTGATCTAAGGGCTATAATGTGTTATCTCAACTCTTGCTGATGTGGTTTGAAGTGAGGTTCATGAGCAAACAGTCAAGAAAGAATTCCTGGGGGGGCATCTGGGCGGCTAAGTCCGTTGGGTGTCTGACTTCAGCTCAGGTCATGATCTCACCGTTTATGAGTTCAAGCCTTGCGTCGGGCTCTGTGCTGACAGCTCAGAGCCTGGAACCTGCTTTGGATTCTGTTTCCCTCTCTCTGCCCTCCCCCCTGTCCCCCTCGCTCATGCTCTCTCTCAAAATTAAACATTCAAAAAAAAATTTTAATAATAAAAGAATTCTTGAGTCATTTTTGGTGCAAAAAGGTGATTTTGTTAAGGCACAGGAACGGACCCCTGGGTAGAAAAAGCTACATTAGGCTTGTGAGGAGCAATGGATTATATCCTTTGGGATTGGGGGGAGGTAAAGACGGGGTAAGACTTACAGGATCCTGGAGGCTTGGCTGTTGTCAAGATAAGGGTTACCCCCCCCACCCCCCCGCCAAGGTATTAACGTGAAGACAATCAATTGGAAGTTCCTGGAGGAATGTTATCCTTTGCCCGTGTCAGGTATTTGCCAATGGGCTGCAGATTATAAGGAAATTTAATTTTATCTACATTTCTGTTTGCCTTTGTCCTCACATCCTTGTGACAACTTCAGGAGTGGTACCATTATGATCATCTCCATTTTAGGGATGAGAAGACTGAGGCAGAGGGAGATGAAGTGGAGCAGCTGGAGTTTGAACTGAGTCACAATCTGACTTCAGGCTCCAGCAAATCCTCCAGATACCTGAACCACGTGGTCACGCCTAGAACGCCAATCGACACTGTAGGCGCCCCCAGGAGGAGAGGATTCCTGGCCGTGACTGATGTCCGGGATTTGTCCCATGGAAACAGAGCACACTGCCTAGCGATGTGGATGCAGGTGTTACAGCAAATCCTCGGCACACGGGAAGACACAAGCAACACGCACTCCGAGAATCAGAAAAGACTGTTGATTTCGCACCGGTACCTGCTCAGCGGAGTCACCTCCAAAGGCTGAGCCCCGAGCCCTGGCACTGACCTTCTTTTATGCCTGGCTAGCATCCGGGTACTTGGCAACGTTCTATTGCCTGCACAGGTGGGAGAGATTGCAGGGGCTCAAGGAAAAAGGGGGAATCAGCTGTGCTTATGTGGGCAGCTGGCTGATGCAAGAGGCAAGCAAGGGTACAGAAGCCAGAAGCATGTCCAGCCTCGGACATCTGGTTGGCCTTCTTTATCTGCTCTTGCCGGCTTTCCTCCTCACAGGAAGGCTGGTCGTGGCCTTGGCTGCAACTGCAAACACCCGTGCAGCCAGCAGGCAGAAGGGCGTCAAACAGACCAGGGGTATAGCTTGCGGTGATGGTTACACAGGTGTTTAAAAGCAGGGAGGCAAGTCTGTGAGCTCAT